CTGATTTAAATGTCTCACCTGAACGCTCACATCCTTTTAATTATGTTTGAAATTATTTTCAACATCATGAAAATTAAACCTATTTTCAATAAGCAATCCTGAAAAAATATTTGGGGGTGCTTAACTTTTTTCCAGGTGTATATATATATGAAATTTTGAGCTCACTAAAGACTTACCTCATTGTTTGAAATCTTGTGTGAAAAGAACGAAATTAGCACAATAACACATCAAAATGGCTGAGAAAACCACTAATGGGACATTCTGATCATTTAATTGGTTATTCATGTCATATATCGAAGCAAGTGTATATAAGGGAGTGTTTCCAAAAATGGAAAGAGGTGGATGAGGTGCCACTATGTTTGATTCAGTACAGGAATGATATCTTAGCATAAGAAAATATAAGAGGTTCTTATTTTATATTCTTGCTTGTCAATATTGGTAGTTTGAGTTCCTAATTTGTATGAAACTGTATATTTAGTATTTTGACAACACAAACATCTAATTGGAACCAATGCTGCATTCAGCATGCCACGTGACATACAAAAATCGATGTTTAGGTGTTTTTTATTTATTTTTAATTAAGAAATTAACTAATGTATAATACTAAAATTTGAATTATAATATACAACTTGATACCATAATGTATTGACATAGATTCATAAAATAGTAGTTCAATAAAATTTTGAGTGTAAGTCAACAAACGTGATGACATGGCCTTTGACTTGTTACCTGTAACAATAGGATTAAGATGTTAACAATATTTTCTAGTTAACAGAAACTTGAAATGTACAAGATATAAAAATAAGTCCAAGTGTTTGTGTTCTTAACTTTACACAGGGAAATGAAGCAGCTAATGTAACGGGACCTGATGGAGCCCCTGTTCAGGGGAGCCGCTATGCAGCAGATAAACGACCTTTTCGTAGGCGATATATTTCCAGGCGACGCTCACAACGTAGACTCCCACGACGAGTAAGCTGCCTGCTTTGTTAAAAATGTTTTTAATGCTTTTCTTTTGTCTTCAGAGGAGCTTGCTATCTGGTAAAAAGCCTCAAATTGGTTAGTAGCTAGTTAAATGCTTCGATGCATTCATACACTCTTCTTTTATTAGTTTGTCATGATAGTTTTATGCACTTTTCGGGCAGTCCTCATCCAATTTATTTTATAACAGATGTGGTAGTTTTAATTATTTCTCAATTTGCTCTCATAGTATATTTGATTAAAGGCCATAGTGTTTTATGTGTTGCAATAATTCCGAGTTCTTTCAAGTATAGTTAGCTGATTAAAAAAGTAAAGCTTTATTAAACAACTAAGTTTTTATATTAGCTAGATGGATTTCTGTAAAGTTTTCAGCATTCTGAAGTCATCTGTATGTATGATATTTGCTTTGGATTAAAAAATTTCTTTTCAGACTAATACTAATAGCTAGGTTAGTCTAGGTACATATATCGAAACAGGGAAATAATATTATGTAAGGACAGAACAAAATATTAATAACTTTCATCAGTTTGAAGTACGCGTGTAATCACCCAGTGAAGTACGCGTGTAATCACCCAGTGAAGTACGCGTGTAATCACCCCTGTGAAGTACGCGTGTGATCACCCCCGTGAAGTACGCGTGTGATCACCCCCGTGGAGTATCCTTTATATTTTTTCATGAAAAGATTGAACATATTGCTTCATTTAAAACGTGTGTTGGTGTAACTGTATTCTTTGAACTTGCACATCGTTATGTTAACGTCCCAAAAGATTTGTTTCCCATAGTGAACCTTAAGCACTGAGAAATTACATGTGAAACGACCAAGTAATTGAAGTCCTTAGTAAAGAAAATTTGATGATGGAATCAACACACAACATACTTTCTCTTTAGAAACAAACAACAACAAAAATAAGTCCTTTGATAATTTTGAAGTACCATGTGGAATGCACAAGTCCCTCACTTCTTCATCACCACATTTTAAACTCTTCGTGCTGTAATTTTGTGTAAGCATAGCAGGTCCACTCTGAAAAGTAGGACTGACAATATGTACCATTCTTATTATTCTCTTCTACAATTCTAATTTCTCATTTCCTTGTGAAACTTAAAAAACTTTGTTTTTGATGTTGTTATTCTTCGATTATTATTTTTTTTCATCTTTCAATATTCATCCTTAAGTCAGTAACCATCTACTAATCTCACTTCTGTTCTGATTATTATTCTGGGAGCCTCGTAATGTCATGAAATTACCACTGTCTTAGTTTTGTTGACATATTTTGAGTCCATAGTCTCTCCCCATTACCAACAAGCCTGTCGAGTAACATTTGTAACTCTTCCTCTTATTCATTCTTAAGTAAGTAACCATCTACTAATCTCACTTCTGTTCTGATTATTATTCTGAGAGCCTCGTAATGTCATGAAATTACCGCTGTCTTAGTTTTGTTGACATATTTTGAGTCCATAGTCTCTCCCCATTACCAACAAGCCTGTTGAGTAACATTTGTAACTCTTCCTCATATTCATTCTTAAGAGCTGTGTCATCAGCATACTTATTATTAAGAGGATTTTTTCTGTTTATTATCATCCTTCCTATGATAGTAATTACCTCTCATTAACCAATCTGCAAGTGCTTCTTTTATTATTATTATTTAAACTCAGTTTTTACTTCTTCGTGGTGTTGATTTTCTAAATTGTTCTAAATATCCTTTTGCTTTCCAGGAGGCCTAGTACCACAGTCTGCTCATGGATAAGGTCCAAGTACTGTAATAATTCTGATATGTTTTTTAAATAGGATGTAGTCTGTCTGGTTTCTCACAATTCTTTCACCATCTTGTAGTGATTTTCAAGTACACAAAAGCCTAGGGTGATGCTTTAACCAATATCACTGAGTCTTTGACTTCTTAAAACTGTACTAATCTTTCCTTCACTAAGCCTTTTTTTTTCATAAAATTGTTCTAATATCTTGTTCACTAAGCCCTTTTTTCATAAAACTGTACTAATCTGTCTTTCACTAAGCCTTTTTTTTCATAAAATTGTTCTAATATCTTGTTCACTAAGCCCTTTTTTCATAAAACTGTACTAATCTTTCCTTCACTAAGCCTTTTTTTTTCATAAAACTGTACTAATATTTCCTTCACTAAGCCTTTTTTTTTCTGGACACTAAACTAAACATCTTTTCTTAGATAAGGTGGCCAAAACTAAACAAAATGTTCCAGATAATTTCTAAATAGCATCTTGTAACATGAACCAATGATGTGCCCATTGTTTCTATGTGTACAACTTCCAATACTGTTTACCTTATTACTAGATAACATAAATTATCTAGAAGGTTCAGTATTGACTACAGACCTTTTCCTCATAAGCATCACTTATTTTCCCATGTTAACTCTTTCAGCATGGGCTTGGACCCTGGGACCGACCTTGTTACCATTTTGTGCTTGTTTCTGTTTTCATGCTATAACTTTTAAGTTAGTAAGCGAATCTTAGCAAAATTTGGCAGATTATCAGTAAACATTACCTTTTTTTTAAGTTTTAAGGTTTGTAAAGCAATGTTTTTCTTGTGCCTTTTTTATTTTCACATGTTACCTATCTTTCATGCAAAGTAATTTTCATTTTAAGATTAAAAACACTTTTATGCATCAGAAAATTTTCAAAATTAACAAGCAAAATCTTTATAATATCCAGATAGTTATGACACATTTCTTAACAAAAATTTGTATATTTTAAGTAATTAATCTCTGTCCATGTTTGGTAGATTTGACCGATCTTGCAACCACCATAAAAAAAATTAGGAAATGAATAGAAGTTATGCCTCTTTCATTCTAGAATGAACACAAATTATAGCACAAAAACATAAATGTTTAGACTGTATAGCTTAAATCTCATAACATTATACATTTATATATATTTATTATTTTTATTATATTGACCTTTCAGCCATGCCTGGCTGACAATACAGAAGTTACACTGATGTACTCGTGTGCACTCATGTTACCGTATCAAATAACAAAATGACCAGTCTTGGCTGTGTTTTAGTGGACTAGTATTTTGTAAAATACAATCACATTTCAATTATTATACATTATATATGTATATAGATTATTGCTATTTTGAAATAAGTTACTTATTTTTCTTAAACATAGAACAGTAAATAAAGAAGTAAAGCAAACAATTATCTCTTCAAGTTTTGACATTTGTACTCAGTTGCAGCTTGATGTAGGTTGTTAAGCCTTTAAAAAATTTGCATGTGGAGGATATGAAACAAATTTTTTTTTTTATGTTTTATATATATACATTTGAATAACTAAAAAATCATAAATTACTATATTAATACCATATAA